ACCTGTGTGATGGGCAGGGTGGCTGACCAGCTGTGGCCTTTCTCACCGAGCTAGACAAGGTGGGCACCCAGGAGCAAACCTCCCTGTCACCTTCCAGACAGGGACTTCAGAGGAGGCTGACATTGCCAAGATGTGGCCAACACCCTTCCTGAGAAGCTGTGCTTGAGCATGAGGGTCAGGCAGTGGCCCCACTCTCCCCGTGTGGGGCAGGCCTGCTGTGCACTGCCCTCCTATGTTCACCAGGATACTCCGTGAGGGCCAAGTATGTCCATCTGGGGCAAGACTGGGAGCTGCACTGGGCGCCAGGACATCCAGGTCAGGGTACACTCAGCCTTAGCACCATCTGGCTTCATCATGGCACAGACAGCCCGAGGCCGCTCTCTCCACTTTCCCTACTGTCACAAGCCAAAAGGTGACTGTCTCCAGCTCAGCTGTACTGGGCTCCTTCCCACGAAGCCTGCAGCAGGAGTGTCCATTGAGGTCCAAGACAGGGAGTCCTGAGGCAGGGTTGTCTGGTTTCTTAATCCCGCCAGCTGGGTCTTGTGAGAGGAAGGATGTGGTCACCTCTGCCAAAAGCTACCCCAGTCTCATGCCTTTGAAGTCTTAGGCTTGGCAGAGAAGGGATGGGGAGAAACACATCCCTCTCAAAGGCCTTGTTTATGGAAGTGGAAATCCACATCCCTGTTAAGGGGCCCTGAAGCAGGGGGCGGGGTGGGCTGCCTGCTGCTGCCCTGAGGTGCACAGTGGTCTGCAGCTGCTGCTGCCTGGGCTGCATGTGGCTTTGGGCCAGTGCTGTAGCACAGCCCTCGTGCTGGGACCCACTCCCCTGGGCCATTCTCCATGAGGGGCAGAGGTCATGGAGGCAAAGAGCTGAGCTCAGGGTGTGGCAGTATGTGGGCCCCGTTCTCCATGCGGGCTCTCCGTGAAGGTTTGTGGGACTGGTGAGCTACCAGAAAAAAGCAGTCCACCAACATGGAAAATGGCCAGATCCACTAAGGATGGACACTTTGTGGCACCAACATTGCCCCTTGTTCTCCAGGGGATGTGCGCCAAGCCTCCAATGCCACCTTGTCCGTCCCAAGTAGCTGGAAGCTGTCCAAATGCAAGCATGATCTGCTCACATAATGGATACCACATGGTCTAAGTGGGAGGATTTTAATTACCTGCAATAAAACGGATGAATCTCAGAGTGATACAAAATACCAACCAGAAGGTTCCATTTATATGACATTCCAAGAAAGGCAAAATTCACCTGTGGTGTTGAGGTCAGGACAGTGGCTTGCAAGAGCAGGCAGGAAGGGACCTGAGGCTGCTCTGGCATGGGCCACTCTTCAATCTGTGGGTCTGGGTGCTGCTTCCTGGCTGTCCTCAGGCTGGGGAAGCCGTCATTCTGATGTTTGTCATCTGTAGGTTCCATCTGTGTTGTACTTAGTGCTCCACAGTGAACATGAGGAGTTGGTGAGTTGCAGGGTGGGGATGTAAGGAGTGTCCAACCAGTGTTAGTGGGCGCTATCCTGTGCTTTCACACACCGGTGTACGGGCATGGTGTGGCCCGAGGTGTCTGGCAGTGGGATAGATGAAGGAGTGAGAGAATGGATTCTCACATGCACTGCAGAAACAAATGCTTTGAAAACACCTCAGGGTTGCTAGGTGCAGTGGTCACACCTATCATCTCAGGCCATGAGGCTGAGGCCAAGGCAGGAGGATCACAGCTTCAAGGCCAGCCAAGACCGTGCTTCAAAATAAAATTAAAAGGGCTGGGGGTATGGTCCAGTGGTAGAGGGCCTCTGGGTTCATTTCCTAGTACTGCCAATAAGTAAACACACAATAAATTTTTAAAAAAGGTGTAGGGATATAGTTCAGTGTCAGAGTACTCCTGGATTCAATCCCTAGTACCACAAAATAGTGTCTAAATAATTTTTTTAAAAAAAATGGGCTGGGGATATGGCTTATTGGTAGAGGGCTTACCTAGCATGTGCGAGACACAAACACATCTTGCCCGAGAAAGTGCTGGGGCCCCCTGTAGAGAGCCTAGCAGATACCCAAATGGGAGCAGGACTGCCTTCCCCACCCAGGCAAGGGCTGTAAATGGTTCTCAAGGTGCCATCCCTGGCTGTGGCCCACTAAGGCCAGAGACAAGAGTGCCCTGATGTGGTCCCCAGCTCCAGGTCCTGTAGGCCCACAGCAGAAATGAGGGTGCCACCAGGGAGGGGGAGTCGGCTGCAGCTGGTGCCCCAGTGAGTGAGCAAGTCTGCATGGTGACAGGCTGCTGGTAGACCTCAGAAGGATGCATCTGGCCAGCCACCAGAAAAACAGCCCCCCCACAGCCCCAGCAGTGCTACAGTTGGGGGCTGTGGCTGCTCTGGCATGGCAAGGTACTCCTGTGGGGTATGTCTAGCGCTGAGCCTCTGCTGAGGCTGTGGCTCCTGCCTTGCCAACTGTTTCTTGAGATTTTAATCATTTTACAAGTTTCAGGATGGCAGGTGTGGCTCTGGTAGACTACTAGCCTTGGGCTCCACTCTCAGCAAAAATTCAAAAAGAAAGATGGGGCTGGGGTGGTAGCTCCATGGTAGAGTAGCTGCATAGCATGTGTGAGACCCTGGGTTCCACCCTCAGCACCACATAAAAATAAATACATAAAAGTATAAAAAATTCAAAAATGCCCCAGAGGTGACGTGCCTCCTGCCTGGCAGGGTGGACTCGCAGCTGCTCCCACCATGAAGCAGAGCCCAGTAGCACCGGGGAAATGCAGGAAGCCGTGATGAGGCTGCAGGAGAATCAGAAGTTTCTCAGAAGGGGGCTCAGGGGCAGGTCCTCAGAGGCAGGACTGATGATGCAGGGGCAGGAGCATGGGGAAGGTCAGCATGGCTTTGATCCTGCACTGTGCTCAGGGGTTCTTGGGCTCTGGCGCCTGCTGG